CACACACACACACACACACACACAAAAGAAAACATGCACAATGAGGACTCTGAAGGGCCAAAAGAGATTCCAAAATATCAAAATATTCTAAAATATAAGACAGAGCCAGCCAGATAGCTCAGCAGATTAAAATTTCTGCTTAAAGAGATGAAGGGACCAAGGTTCAATCCCTGGCATGATGTGCGGGCCCCGCCCCTGGGACGCACTGAGACAGCGACTGAGATTGGGCATGGTGGCACACATCTGTAATCCCAGCACTTGGGAGACTGAAAATAGGAGGATCACTATGAGTCCAATCTGTGTAGTGAGACCCTGTAGTCCCTGTACTAAATACCATATGACAATAGAAAATCTTTTGTTTGGAGAGAAAATGTATCATTTTACTCTAATAAAATCTCGGCTACTTACCCTCATCTTATCTCCCTAGGTCAACGATGGCGAACCCCTTAGAGCTTTCAATTATACCAAACAGCCCACTACAGCACGTGTGCCACAGGCTAGCCACTGCTCGAGGTTGAGACTAATCATGCCTTTAAAACTAAAGCTCTAACTGGTGTTCTAGAAAACAGCTCAAGAGCCAGCCTCGCACATGACTTTAGGAGCAACAGACATCTCCACTCACCACGCCGCCAAAGTATTTTCCTATATAGAAGTCATCCAGGCTGTGCAGTTCAAGATACGTTGCTCCTAGTTCTCTAGCCAGGTGAATCCCTTCCGTTGTACTGACACAGCTCCCTTGGTCGGACGTACACAGAGGGCAGGTGCAAGGTAATTCTTCTGAGAAAATGAATTGGAAAAGAAAGAGGTTTGCAATTAAACAAGAAAAAATATGCAGAGAAAATGGGATCGCTGAACAGCAAATGAAGTGATCAAACTAGAGCCACTGTGTGAGGAGTGTTGAGAGCAGAAAGAGCCCTACTAAGCAGTCACTGAAAAGAAAAGAGCATTTTAGAAAATAGAAGAATTTAAACTGAGTGTGGTGGTGCATGCCTGTGCTCCCAGCACTCTGGAGGCTGAAGCAGTAAAATTTCTGAGTTGGAGGCCAGCCTGGGCTACATATTGAGTTTAAGACTAGCCTGAACTACATAATGAAACACTGTCTCTAAGAAAAAGAGAGGGTTGGCCAAATTGTGCAGTGGACTAAAGTGCCTGCTTAGGCAGGCACAGGGACCAGGGCTTGATCCCTGGTGTGTCCCCGGGGCACACTGAGATGCCGGACTGGGGCTGGGCGTGGTGGCACACACCTATAATCCCAGCACTTGGAAGGCTGAAAACAGGAGGATCACTATGATTCCAATCGGTGTAGTGAGAGCCTGTAGGCCCTGTACTAAACACATGAAAAAAAGAAAAAGAAAAGAAAAAAAGAGAAAGAAAGAGAAGAAAAAGCTAACAGTAAGTGAATGGATACTACCAAACTGGTATAGCAATTAGACTAACCTGCTGGTAATATTAAACCTGCTACTTTCTACACAACCGTGACATCCTGAACATCATTTCTTGCCTAGTGGAAAAGAATTTAAATTTAGGAACTCATGGTCCATAGAAACCAGGAAAAACAGTGGGTTGGGTTTTTTGGTAATAAACCTTAAGTATATAATCATATTCAGCAAGTTTGAAGCAATCTTAGACACTTTGGTTAACAGAACCTTCAGCTGGACCTCGTTTGCCAGGCTGCAAACTGCTGTTCTCTTTGTAAGTTTCATACTACATAGATTCTTATTTATCTGGATACTTCCATCATCTGACTCTGAGACTGCAGAGACCAAACTGAAACTCTTTTTATCTAAGATTAAAACATTACAACTCGAAGGAAAAAGAAGTATTTACTCAAAACATGAACTGACTGAAGATTTGTGGTTGCATCTTAAAACAAATTTATAGCTGGGAAGGGGTAGACAAGCCCCTCTATAAGGACAGTTCTTACTAAGGCTAAAAATACATGCTCAACACCATCTTCCTCAGCTCTTTGTCTTTTTTCATGAGCACACTGGCGATGTCCTCATGCGAAAGACAGCCAGGTCAAAGGACAGGAAAGGCATTTCTACAAAAGCTCAGGGCTACAGGCTGACTTCCTGGAATCGCGTCCCTCGGGGCTGGTGTGCCAGAGGGTGATCCAAAAACAACTCTTCTCAGGCCTGAGGGTCTGGACGGAAGAAAACCTAAGCTGCCAGGCTGCAGCCCACCGCCGACCTTACAGGGAGCTGGAGCTCTGCCGGCCTGCTGAGAGCTGCTCCTCTCTCGGGGAAGGAGACAGAGCTGGGCCTTCGCACTGTACTCCTAAGCTGACCAGATGCGAGCTGAGGCCCACATCAGGGAGCAGCATAAGTCTGGGCAAGGCAGCTCCAATAGCAGAGAATAATGCCTGGAAGGGGCCCAGCAGTGTGCATCAGCCAGCCAGGCTGGACGAGGGGGGGGCTCGCGGCACTAATGGGCCACTAGGGGCAGCCCCTCACAGCTGCACACCCAGCTTCCTGACCACAGACTGGCTATGGGTGGCACACATACAAGGGGTAATCAACATATATGGTGACAGTTCAAGCCTTCAAAATATAGTAAAAGACAGTGTGTTACTAGTAGTCCTCAAAATCCTCGCCCTCACTCAAAGCAACTTCTTCCCACTTTCTGAAGCAGCTCTGGAAGTGCACTGTCATGAGGCTCTATAGGGTGGGATGAGGGCCAGCGAGATGGCGCAATGGACAAAGCACCTGCTGAGGCAAGTGCAGGTGCCGCGGGCCCCCACCTCCGGGCATGCTGAGCTGGCCACAGAGCCCAGGTGTGGTGGTGCACGCCTGTAATCCCAGCACTGGGGAGGCTGAAAACAGGAGGATCACTGCGAGTCTGAGCTGCATAGTGAGACCGTGTACCAAATCCGTAAAAAATAAATGAAATAAGGTGGGATCCATGTGTGTAAACGTTGTGTTGTCTCCTTAGTGTGAAAACCTGAAAGAGAACAATGGAATCTGAAGGGTACTGGGAAAAGGGAATGAACTTATTCCAAAGGAAAGAGTTGCTGAGTTCAGGAGGACAGGAGAGGGAGTAGGGGAAAGAGATAGAGCTACGTATGTAAGCAAGGTGGTTTGGACAACTGTACTCTGCATTTCTGCTGGTCTATGGAAAGAAACAGTAATTCGTTTTGTCTCTTTCTCAATCGTATGTTTTCTCATCTTAATTTCTTATACATTTCTTTCTTCCTTTCTTCTTCCAATTTTACATGCATATATCTGGTAATATGAATAACTGGTTGGAAGACAACACTGGATCACAACAAATACTATGAAGTTCATATTACTTTAAGTAAAATTCTGTATCCGTTGTAATTGTTTCTCTTTTAATTCCAATCTGTACTCTCTTTAAAATAAATAAGTAAACAAACATAGAGGGATCAGAAGTTTGGGTACGGCTGTGGTGGCGGCTGCTGCTGTGTCACCCAACAGAAAGGCGGTTCCTACAACATCTCGGTGTGCTCTCACCCACTCTGGTCACAGGATGTGGTGCTTGTGCCTTCTGCTCTTCCCTGTAGTCAAAACAACTGTGAAGGGCCGGCTAAATAGCTCAGCGGATTAAAGCACCTGAAAGCACGCACAGGGGCCGGGGCGTGCTGAGACAGCAATTGAGACTGGGCATGGTGGCGAGCACCTGTAATTACAGCTCTTGGGAGGCTGTAAACAGATGGGTCACTACGAGTACGATCTAGTAGTAAGACCCTGAACACCCTGTAGATTCTTCCCTAAAATAAAAAAATAAAAAAATAAAAAACCCGACTGTGAAAGGTAAACATTTTAGGGGCCGGGGAGATGGCTCAGTTGAATAAGCGCTTCCCTGGCAAGCACAAGGGCCTGAGTTCAATCCCCAGTTCCACAAAAAAAAAAAAAAGTAAACATTTTCAATCAACAGAGGAAACTGAGGCAGGTACAACAGTGTAACTAGAGATAATACGATGCCTTCAATAGTGGGGAGAATGATGTGGTAAGTGTGTGGAAGTGAGGAAAATATTTTGAGGGAGATTAAGGACAATGTGTCTTTCAGTATGATTTTTTTAAAAAAAGCTTTAACATTTGTGGGATTTTTTGGGCCACACCTTGCATGCGTACAGATGCAGCGCATCCTAAGGACATTCAGTGTGCCACATGCTATGTGGCACGTGGTAGGTGTACATGTGCAGTCCCACAGCGATACGTGACTTAGATAATGTTACCTTCACTGAAAGTTATTTTTGAACTCAAAACCACGTAAATACAGCCTCGCTTTCGACAGAACTGTGGTGTGAGGGCTTATGCTTGTCCAAGTGTCCTTGTAAGTCAGACATAAAGAAACAGTAAGCTGTCGCTTGCTCCACCTGAAAAATTACTTAGTCTCTAGTTGTATTCATTTACCTACAAAAGCTCTAGTTTATCTCTTTTATAGTTGAGTAATACTCCATTGTATAAAAATGTCACCCTAAAAGATAGGATAAACCAGGCACAGAGGTGCAAGGGCTTAGGCCCAGCCACTTGAGGGGATAAGTCAGGAGAATCCCAAGTTCTAGGCCAGTCTGGACCACTTAGCAAGCCTTGGTCTCAAAAAAAATTGTTTTTTTCTAATGGAACAGAGTTTGCTGAAGATACAGCTCAGTGTTCTCTGGGTTCAATCCCAGTACTGGGAGGAAAATAAGACAGGATAAAATACAGTCTGGGTAAAGAATTAATGGTGCCAAAGATACGATGATTTTAAATATTAAGTGTGGTTCTTTCATTATTTCATAAATTGTATTCTGAGTTTTTGCCATTATTTTTTCCAAATTACTGTATCTTTGGAGCAAAGTTTCCATCAAGAATTTAGTCTATCTTAACAAATAACGCATTGGCATTTAGCATTTTTACAAAGCCTTCACAAACAATGTCTTTGCTTCTCCGAAGACAGAGGCCCTCTCTTGTCTACAAAGATCTCCTTATATGCATGGAATGGGGTGGGCAGGCAGATCATTTGGTTACACTTCATTTCTGGATAAAAATCAGCACAGTGTCAAGTGAAAAGTGAACTGCACACAGTATAAAATAATGTCACAGATGAATGGGAAAACAGCTAACTTTAGGTTGAAGTCAGGTGAACAGGTTCTCCACTGTGTGCAGTGTGAGCAGCTTTCTGACACACAACCCCCCCCCCACACACACACACACCTCCTCCCTCCCCTACGTCTCTGAGGTGCTTCTTAGGGTTCACTCACCAGGAAGGAAACTGCCTCACCACCACATTCGATTACTTAGTTACCACTTGCGTACGAACCTTTTATCTACATTATTGCTATTACTATCATTTTGGGAATTCAACGATGGTTGTTATATTGAATACTGTCTTTTAAGTTAGTTGTTCAGATTACATTTTGCACATAAGCGTGCAAAACTGGTCAAAAAATTAAAAATAAAAAAGCAGCTGCTTCTTTCAACAGACCAGTAGAAATCGGCAGCACAATTATCCAAGCTGTGCTGTGTATATAAATATTTTTTTTCTTTCCTTCCTCTTTTTTTTTCTCCTTTGCCTCATCCCAGTTGTTCCTTCTCTTTGAACAGATGCTTTCCCTTTCACAGTATCTATGGTACCCTTCAGATTTTATTTACTCTTTCAGTTCTTCTACTAGGCAGACAATACAATGTTTACATATATAGGTCTCATTTATTTCACTTCTGAGTATGGTCTCTAGTTGCATCCATTCACCTACAAAAGCCTCTAGTTTATCTCTTTTATAGCTGAGCAATACTCCATCATATAAAAATGTCATATGTTTTTTATCCTACCTGTAT